CTATTGGAGTCACCTGGGGCCGCCTTGTGATGCGATCTGGGGCCTTGGGCCTGGGTAGATTCGGCGTTCCGTCTCCCGCGTTCCGCTCGCCGTTCGCAGTAGGGCAGTCTTAGCGAACCCTTACCAGACAGTAGCGAATCCTACCAGACAGTAGCGAACCCTACAAGACAATCATCCAACAACGGTTCCTACCAGACAAGGGCGTGGTGTCTATGCGCCCACGCGTGGGGGGCTTCATTGATCTGGGGGCGACAGGTGGCATTCGAGGTGAATGCGGCATGACATGCTCGCCCTCCTCATCCTGCTGCTTCTCTTGCTCCTCCTCGTCGTCGTCGTCCTCTTCCTCCTCCTCCTCCTCCTCCTCCTCCTCCTCCTCCTCCCCCCCCTCCCCCCCCCTCCCCCCCTGCGCCCCTTCTTCCGCGCCCCCGTCCCTCCCAGTCTTCCTCTTTCTGGCCAAGCATCGGCCGCGCATTGGGGCGAGGGCGGGCGGCGAGGAAGGATGAGGTGGAGGAGGGCGGGGGAGGGGGCGCACGGGGCGGGGGGGGTGGGGCGCGAGGGCGGGGGGGCAACCAGGGAGACAAGGAGGCCGAGGAGGAGGAGGAAGAGGAGGAGGAAGAGGAGGAGGAGGAGGCGGAGGAAGATGGGGGGAGGAGGAGGAGAAAGAGGAGGAGGAGGAGGAGGAGGAGGAGGAGGAGGGGGAGAAAGAGGAGGATGAGGAGGAGGAGGAGGAGGGACTGGGAGGAGAAGTGTTTTAACGCTTCCTCTGGGGTGGACCTGGGGCCCTGGGGAGGTGTTATACGGTCCCCTGACGTGTTATACGGGCCCTCTTGGAGCTGTGATACGAACCTCTTGGGGTGGGCCCAAGGCCGGTGAGCCTGCTGGAGTCATCTGAGGGTGAGACTGGAAAGTGTTATAGCGGCGCTGGAGCCGAACCAATGATCTCGAGGTGATGCGCGGGCCCCAGGGGAGGCGCTGTAGCAGCCCCAGGTTTTTTTTAGACGCCCCGGGAGGCATGCGCGGCCCAGGGGGGGGAGGGGTATTAGCGGCCGCGGGGAGGCGTTATAGAGGCGGTCGGCGAGCCAGGGCGATCCCATCCCGCCGCGAAGCCGGCGTTTGACCTGCGCCGACCCGGGGGAGTGGCCGCCGCGGCGCGATGGTAATTCTACGCCGACGGCGCGCGCCAGAGGGATTCGACCACCGACGCGCGGGCAGAGGCGCAGCAGCCATCGCGTCACATCGCCCACCATCGCGCTCCTGAGAATACGAAGAGCGCGCCAAAGACCGCCGTGGACACTCAGGCACGAGGGCGACACCCCCCTGACCAATGCACAGGTCACGAAGCTAGTTTAGCAGCCGCGCGAGGCCAGCATTCCGACCATCACGGCACGAGCAGCTCTACGAAAACAGTGATTTTCATCCGACTTCATCACCAGCGCAACCAGATTGGTGAGCTACGAGATCGCCCGCTGCGAATGGGCGCCGTCCGCTGCGGCCTCCCTGAAGGACTCATCAGCCCAGGCGAGAAAGGACTCCGCAGGCGGGGTTGAAGAGAACCACCCCGAGAAGGTGCGGGAGTCTTCCAGGAGACTACTCACGTCTGGCGGAAGACCCACCAGGGTCCAACCAGGGTGCCAGCGCAGATTTGACAGAGGAGAGCCTCATCGAGACGACATTCAGCTGGCACTTCGCCATCGCCCAATCTGTCCTCGTTCGCAGCCCGCGTGACATACGCGACAAGCACAAGGGCCGCGCCAAGGACGCCACCACCCTGAGGACAGTGCTTGGCACGCCGATCGACTGCAAATTCGCCGGGGGCGAATGGAAGGAACTCATGACCACGGCCAGGAGAGGAAGACAGGGAGGACGCGACGGAATTTCGGACGACCTAGCAGCGGCAGGACCAGACGAGATGGCCAGGCGATTCCCCCCCGCCCGTCACCGCGCCCCAGACGGCGCCGGTCGAGCCCATCTCCCGCACAGGGGGTCAGCAGGCATCTTTCGCGAAATTGACGGCTCCAAGCCTGACGAGGCTGCGCGAATAATAATTGCATTAAATAGCGACATCGCCAAGCACCGCCAAACGTTCTGTAGAAGCACGGGCAGCACCGCGGACCTCCTGAGGAATGCCCAAGCAGGAGCCAGGCCGTGCCAACGGACCGGCTTCGCAACCCACGCGACGATCACCTACCTCAGCCAGATGAGACAGTACTACTATTCCTAGACCTCCTCAAGGGCGCCTCTACAGGGCCGCCCTGCAGTTGTCCAAACACCACGCCGACCTCGAGGATATCAATGGAGACCGTTGACATACCCCCGGCATTGCTCTCAGCTTTCGAGGAGGCAAGTGAAGGGCCCCCCCCAGTTCGACTACAGCGTAGACGACAAGCATCTTTGCGCACTCATGCGGGGCGCCAATGCCGACGCGTGGGCAACCGCAAGAGTGCGCAAGAGAATGGCACAAACGAGAACCGGAACAAAGCCTAGAGCTCTCGCCTTCGACCTAGCCTCGCGCGGGTCCCGCAGACGATCGCGGAGGACCGGCAGTCGGCAGGGCGTGGTCCGCGAGATCCCAGACCCGCAGGGTGCGCAACCAGCAATGGCCCAACACCAGAACCCCACATACGAACAGAACGGAGGGAGACTACTCACCGACGCACCATGCGTAGGCGACGTGACAGCGTGCGCCACGCCGAACCCCGCGGCCGCCCGCGGCACGGTCAAGAAGCCATTACGTTTCACAGCCACGCGCGCAGTGGCCATCGGCAGGAAATTAAACAAGAATACCAAGACCATGAGCAGCTGCAACGGCGCGCGCAGTGTCTATCAAGGCAGAAGAGGACATCGCAAAGAGGGTCACGAGGGACGTCGGTGTCGGCATACTCCCTGAAACCGTAGAAAGTGTCAACCATCAGAAGACGCTCGGCCTCACGATCACCTTCGCGTGCTCCAGCGGACCCGAGCTCAAGAAGAGGATCGCCAAACCGATCGCCACCAGGGAGCGGGAAGGCCTGCCGGGCCAACCCCTCCTAATTTTCTCGTCAAGGGAAGACGTGGCAGAAGCGCAGCCTTAAAAGGTTAGGTGCATCATCGAGAACGGACGACGGCTGGTGATCCAGTGCCCCTTGCAGGCGGGCGCTGGCCGGGCGACGATGCACGGGGCGCGCCCCCTCCGCCATCTTCTGCTGTTTTCCGGCGCTCTTTCAAGAAACCGCAGGGCATTGGATGCTGGAATGTTCGTTTGCGGTTGGGGGGGAACTTTCTCGTCAATCCTCGAGCCAAAGAAGAATGGTTCTGGCCCGCAGGAGGAGCACACCCTTTTGCTGCCCTGGGTTCTCCGCCTCCTTTCCTAGGGCCCCCGCCCTCGACCCCGCAGGAATCTGGATTCCTGACGGACCGCTGGCCCGATTGCGCAGCGACCAGGACGGCAGGAGGAGGCAGGCAGGAAAAAGAGGAGAGGAGGCGACGACGAGCCTCGGAGACGACGACGAGGACGACGGCACCCCAGAAAAGTAACAAACATTGCGGATTCGTACGTCTCCCCAGCACTACGCTCCAGCGGTGTCGGCGTGCAACTCCAAGATCTAGGAGCAGCAGCAGAGGTCAGGGCAGCAGCAGCAGCATACACTAGCGGCAGCACCCTCCGTCGGACCACGAGCGCAAAAAAGTAATACATCGACCGCGTCCTCAGCCGAGCTCGGCATTGTATTTTGAACGTGCGAGAATATTTGCTCTGGCGAGCGAGGGTGTCGTGCGGCGCAGAGCATGGGGAGGGGCAAGCCGAGTCCCGAGGGGGGATACAAGGGGATAGTTGGATCCATCAACCAACTTCGCCCAGAGGGCTGGTGAGATGACTGTACCCCGGTGCGTGGGTTATGGTTCTGGTGCGTCCAGCGCAGCTGGGAGGATCCTCTTGTTTTCTGACGACGGGTGTGGCTGTCGTCGAAGCCTGGCTGAATCCGTTCGTTGCGGCGAGAGAACCCACTGGCCATCCTTGCAAGACTCGCCCATTCATGTTTTGCGTGTGTCTGTTTGCGAGTGCCCATGAGAAGACTTCATGGTACGTCATGCATCATGTGGGCTCATTTTGTCGCAGGGCCTTGCCCCGATCGCCTGCGCTGGGCGTCCTGAAAAGGGCGAACGACAATCAGGAACGCAAGAAGGACGTGCATGTACATGAATCCGCGCTAGTTTCGAGAGTACGCATTGCCCGAAAGTTCGTATCACGCGGCCGGTCTCGCAGATCGAGGGGCCGCGTTCATGTACATAGCTGGGTGCGTACGTCCTTTGTGGGCTCCCTGGACATGCTGCGCAATGCCCCCCTTTGGTCGCCCTTGTTGCAGCATGTGGCCGAGGCGGGCACAGAGGGATTTTGTTGCGCGGTCGCTCCCGGTCCTCCTCCTCCTCCTCCTCGCTGTCCCTAGCGACCAGGCTTCCTGACAGCATTCGTTTTTGTTGCTGCCCTCCGTCCGCACATGAATGTGGCCAACTGATCCATAGAAGAAGACCAGGTCCTGTCGACATTGGCGCGCAAGCTTTCCGCGGCAGATCGCGCGTGCGTGCCCCCGTTGCCGAGGTGGCGCGCCGCGGTGGCGGCCCGCGCAAGCCGCGGCGCAAGGTCGCTGTGCCATCTTGCGTAAGACCCATGTCTTCTCGTCGTTCGACGGACCCCCGTCGACGTGTTGCTGCCAAACCCACCCGATACATCTGACTGGCCACCAGATTAGGCAAGGACAAGCGGGTGCTTGAACTGACTGGCCGTGGCTTGGGATGACATGTTTGTTTTGGCAAGTTGCTCCCGCACAAGAGCTGAGCCCTTGTCCGCGTCAGCGCCGTATGGCTCCTCCCAGTGGGGCATTCCGTCCTCCTCCTCCTCCTCCTCCTCCTCCTCCTCCTTTCTCCTCTCTTCCTGGTCCTCCCCGCTCCGCCCAGTCCCTCCGCCTCGCTCCTCGTCCGCCCTCCTCTCCGCTGCGGCCGCCTCCCTCACCGGTGCCGGGGCCGAGGTGTGCATATCCTACCTCGCCGAGCACATGCTCCTCCAGTCAGCGCCGGTGCGCCGCATGGAGCTGCACCGGTCCAAGCGCTTCTGGTGCCGCCCGCCCGGGGGGGCCGACGGCCTCGCCCAGCGGTCGGGGGGGGAGCCTTGCCCGCAGGGCCCCAGGACCAGTTTCCCCAGAGGGAGGAGGAGGAGGAGGAGGAGGAGGAGGAGGAGGAGGAGGAGGAGGAGGAGAAGGAGGACGAGGAGGAGGAGGAGGAGGACGAGGAGGAGGAGGAGGAGGTCAGGGGCAACGTTCGGGGGGGGGACAGGCGCAGGTGGGAGGTAGAGGATGCGTCGACCCAATCGCCCATTCGTCGCCATGGAACGGGGTCCTGAGTCCAGGCCTCCGAGATGGGGTCCGAGTAGGATGGGGTCGGGGGATCGCGTCGCATCGCCGATGCATCGGCGATGCGGCTCGATGTAACGCCAGATGTTCTTGGCGCTGGCGTCGCCGATGCATCGCCGATGCGGCGCGATCGTCCGACACCATTCACTCGTATCCCACATGGGAGCCTTCAACTGAAATTTGTCCTGTAGTTTGTTCGAGTTTTCGTGCTCTCGGTACCCTTCCTGGGCCTTGGGACCGTCAGGGAACGACACTGGATGAAGAATTGCTCCCAGGGGGAATTCCCACCGTCCATGGCCCATTACCCACCGGACACGTTTCCTTCATGCCAGTTCTCTTCTCCCTCGTCGGCCTGGTTGTTTTGGTCGGCCTGTGCCGCCATGTGCCTGCCGTCTGGGACATCAGTCACAGAGCCAACTGTTGCCGCCACCTGCTGCCCAAGCAATCAATCAGGCCCCAAGACAGCGGACGAGGACGAGTGGTGAGTGATTGATTGATCGCAAAGCGTGGGCGGAGAAGGGGAAGGGGAACGGAGAGGGGTGGAGGTCAACATGGAAGCATTGAATCATTGCAGTCGTATGCCGATAGGCTTCTCACGCCATCGACCAAGCTGTTGCTTAGGACGGTGCGAAATGACAGGAAAGGACATGATGGGAATGTCGGAGAATTCTTGTGCCGTCTTTGCGCCGTCTTGGGCCCCCATGGACAGGAGTATTCATGGTCCGTGGGGGAGGGCGTTCGGTGGGCCGGCTCAGAGGCCGTCTGAGGGCCATCTGGAGGCCACGTTGGGACCTCCAGGGTAGCCTGCAGAGGGCCCTCTTTGATTTTTCAGCGTGTTTGGGCGCCAGGTTGCCTGTAGGAGGGTTCCTTCGGGTTCTGGGCCTCTGAGATCTGGGCCTGGCGCGCCACGTGCGCCTGTGTGCACTGCCGCTCCAGCGGGGTCGGCTTCAGCCGCTGTCCGTCACCGCTTCGCGTGGGACCGCCCGGGGGGAAGAATGCAACCCCCCGAATTTGCGTTTACTGAACGGCCCTGGGCGTCTACTCAATAGCCCTATCCTGTCCGATTCTTTCCTTGGCTGCCTTTGCTCAACGGCCTCGCTTGTCGGGGTACTTCTGACGCGGGTGTTTTCTTTGCCCTCCACTCTACAGCAGGAGTGCAAAGCGACCAGAGACCTCCTGTCCTCCTTGATTCTCGAGCCCGCGCGCGCGCGCGGATCTCTGGGGCGCACCAGGTGCGCCTGCGAGCGCTGCCGCGCCGGCGGGGTCGACTTCAGCCGCGGCCTGTGGTGCCCAGCGTGCCGCCAGGGCGCCGTTTACGCGTGCACCCCCGCCTCGGGGCCGGCGCAGGACAGGGCTTCACTGCCCACCAACCGTCCCAGCCCAACCCCGAGGGGTGCCCCCCCTTCCACAGCTCGTCCCACCGGCCTGGGCCTGGCCGCGCGCGGGGAGGCACGCTCCCTCCGCTAGGTGCGGGAGGAGGAGGAGGAGGTGGAGGAGAAGGAGGAGGAGGAGGAGGAGGAGGAGGAGAGCGCGCCGGTTGTGGCGATCGGGGAGACATGGTGGGGAAAATGTGGGAGTTCGGTTTCCCGGGAGTTCGGGCCCGGGAGGTCGGATTTTGCCGAGGTGTCTTGTTTTTTTTCTCGGCGTCGGAGATCTCGGGGCACGAGTGGCTTTTTTCGCCGGAGCGACCTCTGGTGCGGGCCCACGGGGGGGGCCTGAGTTGGGGGCCCTCGATCGCCGGACGCGATGCGAGGGCAGCGGCTTGGGTTCCCCCCTTCGAAAGGAGAACAAGTGGTAGAAACAGCACAAGCATGAACCTTAGGAGCTCCGCGCGGATTTCTCGGATCTGCGCTGGAAGCTCTCTAGCGGGGCCTCCGGCGCCGCCCCTGGCGCACTCTGCGCGCCAGGTAGGGGGTTCAGCGACGACCTTAGCAATCCGCGCGGACCTCAGACAGTTTATGCTTGTGCAGTTACTCCTTCTCGGGAACGGGATACGATAGCAGCGTCTTTCGCGTTTGGGCTTGCTCCCCCCGCACACGCTCCCCCACTCAGCAGCAAGCCCAGAGAGGAATGCAGAGGGGGCGGGCCTTCTAGAAGGCTCGGAAGGTTTCCGGCCTTCTGCAATGCTTTCTAGATCGTCTCAGAAGACAACGGCGGCTTCTCAGGAGGCCGCCAGGATTCTGAGAAGCCCCGCCGCCTTCTGAAAAGGGGCCTACCCCTCCTCACTGAGGAGGCAGTGGGCAGGGATGGCGTGGCAGGAAAGAGGAGGAGGTGATTGTGGCAGGCAGGGTGATTCTATTTGGAGCAAGCGCGGTCGACGTTCCATACGCAGGTAAGAAGCATTAGCGCTCCGAGAGCGCACTCTGCCCTGCAATCCACTGCACCATGCGGACGCAGCGAAACGGCAAAACTGGAGGCGCACGGCGAGGAGTGATGTGCTCGCACCCGCGCCACCCGATGAGCACGCGGAACCTTTCCCTGTCCACGAAAGCGCATACAATGCGCTTGCCGTCGAGCCCCCGGTTCCCGTGACGGATCCGAAGGTGATGTTGAGCGAGAAGCCTTGGGCGATGTGCCCGTGATAGCGCTCGTTGGCACGGGGCCGACAGAACTTGCGCGGCCAACTCTGGAAAGTTGCGCTCCTTTTCTGGGGCCGCGGACAAGTCACCTGGCGGACACACGCGGGTGCTGCCTTCGAGGCAACTGCACGGCGACGGGTTCATTCATGGGCCTCGTGGGCGTGCCCTGGGCGTGTCGGAGAAGGAACAACCTGCACACGCAAAGACCTCCTCGGGTCCGCGCGGGTTCCCTGGATGGGTGCTGGGAACCCCTCCCTGGCGCCCGGAGCGCACAAAGAGGCGGCGCCGGGGGCGCCCCAGGGGGCCCCTGCGCCGGCCCAAGAGGTCCTCGTGGAACTCTGGAATAGAGGGCCACGTGCGACCCCTACCCCTACCCCCCACGATTTCTGAGGGGGAGGGTAGGGTTCGCTTCGTTCGGGAGCTCTCGAGCGAAGTGAGCCCCACCCTCCCCCCCAGAAGTCGTGGGGGGTAGGGGTAGGGGTCGCACGTGGCCCCCTAATAAAGAGGTCCTCGTGGCACTCTGGAAGCTACTGTGTCTCTATAGCTGCTGTCTGCCTCGTCGCCTCCAGGCCCCGTGGGTGTCTGCCCGGCCGGCGTCAGCCGAGCGCCTGCTCGAGCCAGGCGCGCGTCGCCCCCCCCGCCAAAAGGGGGGGGGCGACGCGCGCGCTCTCTCGGAAAGCGTATAAAGTGTCGGAGGTGTACAGACCTCCTACCCCGACGCGTCGATTTAGTGAATTGTCCGTTTTTGGGTCTCGAGAGGGCGTCGAGGCCGTCATTTTCCAGGTTTGCGCCCGCCAGGTTTGGGCCCGAGGTTGTTTTCACTAAACCACGTTTTGCTAAAGGGGGGTCTGCCCATCCCCGAAAGTGTGTGCTCGGGGACGGGCGGTTTCTGGCCACATCGCTGGGGCAGCAAGAGATCTTGTCCAGCTGCCTGCGGCAAGCCCCGCCCCGCCGCCTTTTGCCCGTGCAAAACAGCGCAGCAGGGGGGAGGCGACTGGGCGCAAGAGTGACCTTTCGCTGGAGTAACCTTGGGTGCAGTCACAGATGGGCCCCCAGATGGCCGAAAGAGAAGCGGTAGCAGCTGCTTGCGCGCTTGTTTTTGCCTCCCCCCCCCCCCCGCGGTCCCAAGAAGCCGCGCACCAAAGGACATGCTTACCCAGGGTCACTCTTGCGCGTAGCCGAAGGAGGTTGAGTGCAGGAGCAGCGTAATTCGGACGGGTGGTCTGAGTTGGGACGGGTCATGAACTCGACCTCGCCTTCGTGCGCGCGGTAGGGAGGATGTGAAGAAGAACTTGAAGACGAGTAGGAGAAGTCGTCTTGGGGCCCTGTTGGGGCTTCCCGGGAGCCTACTGAGGGCCACTTGGAGGCCTCTTGGGGGCCTCAAAGGGCCTCTTGGGTGGGGCTTCTTGGGCTGTCTTAGGGACTCTTGGACCGTTTGACGCCTTCGGAGGCCGTCTTGGGGACTTCTCTGGGCCTTCTTGGTGCCCCCTTGGAGGCTTCAGAGCCGTCTTGGGGCCCTCTTGGGACCCCTCGGGCGATCTTTGGGTCCTCTTGGGCCGACTTGCGGCCCTCTTGGGGGCATCTGGGGTTGTCTTGGAGCTATTTCGGAGGGCGCTTGGTAGCCTCTTGGGCCGTCTTAGGCGGTTGGAAGCCCAAACAGGCGAGAACCTCAAAATCATTCAAACCTAAGGACGATCTTTGGTTTGGGCTTCCTCGGGCTCTCCAGGAGGGCCTCTTGGAGCCCTCTTGGACCGGCTTGGGGCCTGGGCATTTTGGACAGTCTTATTATCATTTTGCCTGTCTTGGAACCCGTCTTGGAGGCCATCTTAGCCGTCTGGAGGCCGAAAGCACTGCTGGAGAGCAAATTCGAGGGAGGCGATTTCAGAGGCACGCGTGCCGTCCGGGGGGTCGTCGGCCTTTGAAAACTTTCAAACACCGTCCAGACAACAGACAAGCAGTCTAACACGCCCCAACAGGCACAAGGCCCTGGTAGCGGATACTACGGTTGTACTACATGGTCTTGTCGGACGCACGCCTCCAAGGAGGACGCGTAGTACTAGTAGTATGCCCTTCCGCGTCCCGCCTGAGGGCGATCTCTCTCTCTCTCTCCCTCCCTCCCTCCCTCCCTCCCTCCCTCCACACATACATGTGTTCCCCAGGCAGCGCTTGCACCTCGGAGTTCTCGCTTCTGCTCTACGGAACCGGGCCGCGCCTTCGGTCTGGCGGCTCCGCGCCGCCCCGTCGCCGCCCCGTGGCCGCCCGTCGCTCGGGCTTGTGTGTCGGTCTGGCTGCTCCTTGCCGGCCGTGGCAGCCCAGCCGCCGGTTCGCATAGATTTCCTTTAGAAATGTTAGGATGTACCACCCCGCCCCGAAATTAACAGTTCCCTTTTTCGTATTGCAACCGCCGTTTGCGAAATAAACGCCCATCTTAGGGATCGAAAACAAGACGACGAAGCACGCCCCCTTCCCCCCGTATTTCAAGGTTGACGGGGAGGGCTGGGCAGTCCAACATAAGTGGGCGTTTATTTCGCAACGTTTCGCACTCCCCTTCGGCGTGTTCGGTGGCCAACATTGAAATGCGGGGCGCGGGGCGGGGATCTCGGTACTTCCACGCGTGGGCGTTTATTTCGCAAACGGCGGAATTAACATATCATTCTGCCCCATCGTTCATCCTGAGTATGAACTCGTACTATCCCAGCTTAAGCCGGTCTCGCCCTCCCCCCTCATCCTTTTTTTGTAGGGAATGTTGCGCGCACGCATTCGTTTATCAGAGACCAGCATGTTTCACTCATCCCTCCCCAAGAATAGGACGAGGTGCGGACGCGCGCGTCGTCGCGCGCGCATTCCGGAATCCTTCAAAAACCTCGTAGATGTCGCAAGGATTTCAACATCTAGTGTCCTGGAAACAAATTAGAACTAATGGTTTCGCAACACGGATGTTCGAAAACAACTTGCGTTCGCGCTCATTCGGTTTTTATATGGAAAACAAGCGATTTTCAACATGTCGATAACATGCTACCAAGCGGGGGTTTCGCGCGCGCGTCCTGTCGCAAGAGCCTCTTGCAAAAAACGGGACGAACTGCACACGCGCGCGTCGTCGCGCGCGCATGCCGAAATCCGTTAAACCTCGAGGTTGCGTAGGGATGTCAAAATCGAGTGTCCCGAGACCATATAGAAACATATGGTTTTGCAACATAAGTTTACACACGCACCTGCGCTCGCGCTCCTGCGAATTCTTTAGAACACCATCGGTTGTTTTAACATTGTCATTAAATTCTGCCATACGGGCCTCTCGCGCCGCCCGTCAACATCATTCGAACGCCTTCGCGCGCGCGTTGGCGGGGGGCACGATCCGCAACACCATGCGGGCCACTCGCGCGCTGGCCGCGCGCGCATGTCGAATTCTCTCCTCCGAAACTTTCACCGCCGACGCGAGGACGCCGTCATCGTCGTCGGCGTGATCAGCGTAGGTGCCGTCACTGGCTTTGCCGTCGTCGGTGTCATCATCGTCACCAGCACCGCTACCATCATCATAGCTTTTACCGTTGGCGACGTTGCCATGATACCGCGCTCGCCCAAGTCGTCGACTCGCACTGAAGTGCCCGCTGGGGAATGCCCAGCGGTCAGCGCCACCGCGGCCGCGTCGGTCGCGCCGCGCTGGCCGCTGCGCGCGCGAGCATGCTCGCTAGCGCGGCCGCAGAAATGCGCCAGCCAATACCAAGCACACACTGCAATCGCCGTCGCAAGGGCACTGCAAACCAAGTTGCG